AACCGTTTTCAGTATATCCTTGTATTTTTTAAAATTAAGATATAGTTCACATACCATCAAATCTACCCTTTTAAAGTATGCAATTCAGTGGCTTTTGGTATATTAACAACATTACCACTGTCTAATTCCAGAACATTTTCATCACGTCCAGAAGAAACTTTATGCCCGTTATTAAGCAGTTCTCATTCTCCCGTACCCCAACCCCTGACAACCACTAATCTACTTTCTGTCTGTGTGGATTTGTCTATTCTGAGTACTTCTATAAATGGAATTATGTAATATGTAGCCTTTTATGTGTAGCTTATTTCACTCAGTGTGTTTTCACGGTTCATCTATGATACAGCATGTATCAGTATTTCATTCCTTTTTATGTTTGAATAATATTCCATTGTTTGGATATACCATATTTTATTTATCTGTTCTTCTGTTGATGGGCATTTGGGTTGTTTTCACCTTCTGGCTGTTGTGAATCGTACTGCTACGAACATTTGTGTATATGTTTTTGTTTGAACACCTTTTTTTAATTCTTTGGGGTATATGCATAGGAATAGAATTGCTGGGCCATATGCTAACTCTGTGTGTTTAACTTTTTGAGGAGCTGCCAAACTGTTTTCCTAAGTGATGTCACCTTTTTACATTCTCACCAACAATGTATGAAGGTTTCAGTTTCTCTGCATCTCTTGCCTAAACTTCTGTTGTCTTTTTATTTTAGCCGTCTTAGCAGATATCAAATTGTATCTCATTATGGTCTTGAATTGGTTGTCTTTTTATTATTGAGTTGTAAGAGTTCTATGTATCTTTTATATATAGTAGACCCTTATCAGATATATGGTTTATAAATATTTTCTCCCATTCTGTGGGTCCTCTTTATACTTTCTTTTTTTTTTTCTTTTTTTTTTTTGGTCTTTTGTCTTTTTTTCCGTGTCTGGCAACGGATCGCAACCCTCAGTGTCGCCCCCATACCGGACCGGGTACCGGCAATGGGATCGCAAGCCTCGGCGTTGCTCCCGCGCCTCGCTCAGCCAGCGAGCGGGAACCGGTCTGTATGTGGGATCTGAACCCTCGGGCGGGAGCGCCGCCACGCTTCCCAAGCGGCGCACTATCCAGTGCGCCACCGGGCCAGCCCTATACTTTCTTGATAATATCCTTTAAAATACAAAAGTTGTGATTTTGATGAGTGTATTAGATTTTTAAATGAAAAAAAAAATAAATTAAATTCCTTAATTGCTGTACTTCACATAAAATATGCACACTTCTTAGAAAAATTCTGAAGGAGTCTAATAGTAATATATTATCACTTTATCTTAATTTAAGTTTTCTGTCAAAGAAAAAATTAAAATCCTTACTTTGGGGGGAAATATCATCACAATTGGGGGAGTATTTTCCCTTTCTACCTTCACCTCTCTAACTGTACCTGTTTGCCGTGCCAATATTTGAAGAAACCTTTAATTAATCGGTAAATACTATTTCCACGAATGAGAATAAAAATTGTTCTCTCAAGTCCTCAGGAACTTGGATAGAGAATACTACCAGTTTGGACACAGCTTAAAGGCAGTGGTTGTCAGGTATCCATGTATGGATTCCATTCAGATAGAAATAAGTGTTTCTTGATCAATAAAAATATAGAGTGAAATATGCTTGCTTAATTTTTTCCAACCTAATGTGCCAACAATTAGTGGTTACAGATGTCTGAGTTTTAGCAAATTATTTCCAGGCCTCCTTATTGAAAAAGTTTGGAAGAAAAGCCTACTGAGGTTATAACTGAAGAAGATTCTGTAACAAACACACCCAGTATTCTCGATGATTTTCATAATTAATCTATTTTGATTTCCAATTACTTGAGTGATTCTTAAAGGTTTGTCCCAGATTTGTTCCACGTTTGTCCTTGTAACTCTGCTTGGGAACCAGTGTCCTGGACCATAATTTTTCTGTTAGTTCTTAAATCCTTTTCAATTGACCTGAATCCAGTTTATCTAGATTCAGATCTTAAAGTGTCTTTTCCAGGAGTATTGTTGATAGATAATTTTGAATCAGAGAAGTAGATTTTATTACTATCAGTGCAGTTTATGAGTTAGCATTGTCGCATGTTTTATAGTTGGCCCCTCTTTATTTTATCCTTGTCTAGATTCTCGCCTCTATTTAAATTGTTGATGAAATATAAAATATTGTTGACACTTTGTGGCTCATCATCTCTGAATTGTTCCTTTTAGGGCCATTTTCAACATGGTGATTTAATGTCCTTAGTAGAAGCTGAAACTTCTTTATTTAGACTCTTGGCCTTCTCCCCTACTGATCTTGAGACACATGAAGGAAATATTTTTGTCTTACATTTTTTAATCCTCAACAAATATCTTTTCCAAGCTCCCAACAATGTGTTTTAAAAATAAAAACAACACTTCTGGTGGATTCTTTACTTTTGAAATTATAATTTTGTATTTATTTTTATTATTATTAATGTCTGCCTTTTGGGATACTTTCCCCTTTTTGGCATTGAATAATTGTGCTGCATTTCTTGGGCTTTCCTTTTTCAACTCTCTTGGAATATAACCTTGGCAAGTTGCTTCATCTTTCTAAACTGATTATCTTATCTGTAAGATGAGGGGGTAGACTAGACAGTAATCTGTAATTCTTGGGAGTGGAATTGCTGGGAGGACATCAGATGGTGTATGTTTAGTTTTATGAAGAACTGCCTCACCTTTTCCCAAAGTAGTTGTATACTACATCACATATAACATTTCTAACCAAGTCTCATTGTGCTGGTGTGGTGACCTAGCAATTGTTCTAGTTCCCTGGGAGGTCATACAGTGCTCAATGAAATGAGCATTTAGAGTTCAGATCCAGACTCCTTGACTCACTAGCTGTATGGCCTTGGGCATATACCTTAACATTACTAATCTTCCATTTTATATGTGCAAAATGGGCATCTTTATACTGACCTACCTTGTAGGGTTGTTGTAAAGGTTAGAGATCATGAAGCATGCCTTGCATAATGTGTGCTTGTGCTTAGTAAAATAACTGAATATCCCCTTACTTCCACCTGCCTCCAGTTTCTTTGGAGAGCCCTAGCCTTCAGAAAAGAGACCTCAACATGAGGTGTGAGTTGAATGAGTTGAAGAGAGTGTCTGACCTACAGAGACCTACAGAGAGCTAGCTGCCTTGGTGGAATTAGGTCTTTTCTTTGTTATCCTTGAAAGTCTCTTTAATATACAAACCTGTATCTCTTGCTTTTTTAGTCTGTCCAACCTAGCATGTTAAGCAAAAACTTGTTCCCTGAGGGATAAGTGTCCCTGGCACAGAATTCAGTAGTATCCCAAGGATGGTTATGCACTCACAGAATCCAAGCTTTAAGTGGATACCTGTCATCCCACTGCTGGGTTTCTTTTTGCCTTATATTTCATTAAAAAAATTTTTTTAATTGTGGTAAAAAACACATGGCATAAAATTTACCACCTTAACCATTTTCTTGTATTTGATTCCTTTTATGTACTTAGCTCCTCTTTTTCCTAAGCCATTTTAAGTACTGAATCAGCAATGAGGTAGTCAACTGAATTGTCTTCCTGCCTGCCTGCCACAATGACCAATTCCCTCTGGATTTAGGCTTTTTTTATGAGGCTGGACTTTATTTATGATAAAAATCCAGAAAATCTTTCATTTCTTTCATCTTTTTCTCCTGGGATTCTCAATGTTAATGTTTGGGAGCATTAGACTAGGGAAGGAAAATGGAAAAAACAGAATGGGAAATATGCAGCTGAATTTTGCAGTCTCCATCACTCCCAGGGTGGACCAGGAAGTCTGAGTATAGATTGGGTAACGGCATACTGGAGGGAGACTACTCCACCTGGGCAAGTGTCTGTGCCCTTTAGCACACGCCAGGCCTCTTGTTAGGAAAGCAGGCTGCTCACAAGTGGTGCTATTTCTAAGTGTCATCCAAAGTTCATTGAAACCATCTTCCTGGAAAGCCTGCTTTTCCCTCCCAGGCTCTCCTTAAGTTGTTTCTTTGTTTCTGACCAAGATAGTGTGTTGTTCCCTGAAACTATCACCCATGTTATTTTCTGATTATTGCCAACCGTAGCTTGGTTATGAAATAGCAAATATTTTTTTACAACACCAGACCTGAAAGAATGAGATGTAACTTCTACTTCCAGAGGGATGTTTCCTTAAAAGGGGTCACTTTGGGAGCTGCTCTTTTATTTGATAGTAGTGCTCAAAAACAGTTTTGAAACTTCCTTTTTAGGGCTGCCTTCAGCCCTGTGACACATCCTCCCTAATGGCATCTATCACAATAAAGCTTCCTCCTATATCAGTAGTTTGGTTTTTACAAATGGCCAAAGTCTGTGGCTCAATTAGATGGTCATACAGAACACACCATTTTTATTTAAAATCAAAGGCAAAACTTTGAATGATCCTGATATTCTTCTCGAAAAATCAACCCAGCTGAATTTTGATGCAGCTTAATGATAGGTGAGAACAAAGATTTTGGGAAATAAAGGAATTACACTCAGTTTGATACGCATCATTATCACCCCAGTGATGTCACCTTATTCATGACCAAAGTCTCAGAACACATGTGAATAGTAACTTTTGTGTATTAGCATGATAAATACCATTCTGGGTCAGAACAGTGTGCCTAGGATTTTGTGTCTGCTAGTGGCATGTAAAGATATTTTGTGGAAGACTATTTTAGTTGCCTATGTTAGACATAAATCTTAAAATGGGTTTCATATTTCTTGTATAAAGTGGAGATCCTTTAGGTTTTTACATACATGGGTTTTTTTTGTTTGTTTATTTTTGTTTTTACATAATACACCAACAACAAATTGGTACAGCTCCTAAAAGGCACAGTCCATATGTGTCCTGTTTGCTACTATATACCTAAGGCCTAGCGCAGTAGGAACTCAGTAAGTATTCGTTGAACAAATCCATGGGTTCAAACTTAATAGTACTCTTTGTATGAAGCATGCAGTGGAATGGTAATGTGCTTGTTTCTCTCTCTTTTACAGTTGTCAAATTTTAAAGTTCTGAATCACTCTCCAATGTCTGATACCTCTGTCAATTTTGACTACAAATCTCCATCCCCATTTGACTGCAGCACTGATCAGGAAGAGAAGATTGAAGATGTTACTAGTCACTGTCTGCCCCAGAAGGACCTGTATGCTGCTGAAGAGGAAGCTGCTACCCTTTTTCCTAGGAAAACGACATCCCATAATGGGATGGAGGACAGTGGAGGAGGAGGTACTGGAGTGAAGAAAAAACGGAAGAAAAAGGAGCCAGGAGAGCAAGAGGGTGCAGCAAAGGGAAGCAAAGACAGAGAGCCCAAGCCAAAGAGGAAGCGAGAACCTAAAGAACCAAAGGAAACCAGGAAGGCCAAGGAGCCAAGGAAGGCCAAGGAGCCCAAGGAGCTGAAGCAGAAGGATGGCGCCAAGAAGACGAGGAAGCCACGGGAGGCCTCAGGCACCAAGGAGGCCAAAGAGAAGAGGAGCTGCACTGATTCTACAGCCAGGACAAAGTCCAAGAAGGCCAGGTGTGTCCATGTTTTCCTGCTCCCAGCTCTTGCCTCTGCTTGCAGGATGTTTGCCTTTGGCGTTAGCCCAAGCCCTGAGGCATAACTTTACTGCACTTCTGTGGGCCTCAGCTTCATACCTCATTTTACATGGGTCTAATGCAAGGGGCTGTCCTTGGAGGTTACTGTTTTCTGGTGGCATTCCTGGAGTTGTGTTTCAGAAAAAACATTTGTATTTTTAGGATACTACAAGAATTCCCTACCCTCTTCAAACCCCAGCAGCCCTTTTTGGTTTGTATACTTAGAACTTAGCATTCTCTAGGTGGTGGCTGGTATCTTGCCTCGTGTGTAGATGGGCTCCTTAAATCTCATGTTTATATTTTCTTTGTGTCCGTATTAGCTTTTAGCTAACAATGAAACCATTTTTCTTACCTTCTAATGAGAGAAAGACAACCTTAGTTAATTCTGGCCATGTGATTTCTTGCCATTCCTTATGGATTAAGAAGAATTAAAATGTTGACATGCACAAGGTGTAAGGCAAGGGGCGCCCCAGGTATGATACAGGGAGAGCAGTGATTTTTGGAACAGCAGGGATGCTCCTCACCACTATACTACCAATGTCGCTCTAGGGCGGTGATTTTTGGAATGGCAGCAGTGTAGAGTGGCAGAGGAGCAGCTGTGAGAAGGATGCATAGTCGTAGGAATCAGTGGCACAGGTGGCCTGGAAGAGCCATGGGTGTATGTAGCATTCCAGCTAGAAGAACACTGACTTCCTTCCCTTAGTCTCTAACCTTTGAGTACCAGGCCATTCCTGATCCATTTCTCTAATTCAGTGTGTGGCACAGGACTGACATACTGACAGGTATTCAGGAAATGTTGAGTGAATGAGACTGGTAGAGCCCATGGTGACTTGTAGAGAGATCAGAGGGCATGGATACAGATGCGTTGCAGCTATAGAGTCTATTAGGATGGCATAGGGAACTCAGTGTTTGACACCTGTGTAGTTTTTCATTTTGTCTCTTTCTAAATACTTTGTGCAGAAAGTTATATTTAAACTTTTTGAGGAAACACACACACAAAAAATGGCCCCCTTTGTAAGGAATTTATGTTTTTAAATCTAAGCACAGAGGGCTGGCCAGTTAGCTCAGTTGGTTAGAGCATGGTGCTGATAACACCAAGGTCCGGGATTCGATCCTTGTACTGGCCAGCTGCCAAAAAAAAAAAAAAGAAGCTTAGATGAGATCTAAGTGCAGAGGCAGAACGTCTATATCTATGTATTATATCAGACCAGGAGCACCCATAAAAACGCAGAGACTGATGTGAGTGCTAACAGAACATAAAATAATGAGGCCATCAGACCTGTGTTGAGGAAGGCATGAGAGAGGAAGTTTTAAAGAGTCAGAACATTTTAAAGTGGTATATGCTGCAACTTGGAGCTTACTCTATGGTCCAGTTCTTTTTCAGGACAGTTTGTTGGGACCAGATGGATAATTTCCCAGTCCAAATTAAAATTTTACCTCATTGTATTTACTCCCTTCTGCCTGGCAGGGGATTTCATCTTTTGTTTATCAAATATCCTAGGAAAGTAGTTTAAAGAGGATGGCTGTAAAATTTCTTATAGAAGGTCAAGAGAGGTAGGCAGAATCAGGATTCTAACTAATGAAAACTTTATAGGCTTTGTTTCTCAGTGAACCTAGTGAGGATACTCTGATCTCCAATGTGTGCATGAGATGACAGAGTGACTCTTTGGCTTCTGCAAATAATTTTCATCTCCACATTACTTTGGATACTGTGTGTGAAGAAGAATCAGACACGAGCTAGTGAAGTGACTTTTTGGTCATTGCAGAAAACAACAAGGAATGAAGATAGTGTTTGAGAATTAGGGAAATTAGAGGAAGGTTTCACAACCCCAGCAAGAAGTCTGGTTTGGATATAAAAGGCAGTAGTAAACCTATGTGAACTCAGCCACTGGTCTTTGATATTTACAATTTTACTGACCTCCTTTTCCTAAAAGAATTTACACTTACATTGTGTGGTATATGAAACAAAGTGATGAGTATATAGACATGGCCCTAAATTCCATTTTAGGGGAATGAGGAGGTATTTCACAAAACAAGCTGGGATGACAAATGTACAGGTAAAATCAGGATTTTGACTAATGAAAAACTTACAGGTTTTGTTATATATATGTATATATAGCAATAATTAAAGGAACTTAATTTCGATCTGATTAGGCTCTGTGAAATATAAGTGAGTTGGAGAAGTGCTCAGTGGTGTTTTCAAGGGCTGCTCGTTTAGAAGACAGCAGAACCTCTTGAGGTTTAGAAATCCAGGAGATACCCTTTGAGAGGAGGCTGACAGATAGGTAGAGATGGTTATCTCTATAGAAATGTGGGCAAGTTACACAAAGCTTTCTCTTTCTTTATTTTGGGGCTGTATAATATTGACCTGTAACATAATAGAATTCTTCCATGTAGCCCCAGTAGGGTTCTAGAGTGGTTAGCCTTTGATTTCTTCTCCTTTATATGTTTATAAAATTGTTTTGGTTCCTTTAATTAATGAGCCCAGTGGTCAGCAGAAGCAGTTTTAGTTATTAAAGGACACTAATTGATTAAATTGTGTTAGTAAAGTCTTAGTTTTTTGTGCTCTTTGATTTACTCTTGCAGATTGGCTCAAGTGCATGTTTTGATTTGAGCAGTTATTGATTAGATGCTGGATAATACTTGATGGTTATAAATGATTCACTGAATGCTTGGATTACCATAAGAGCTGCACACCTGATTTATAGCCATTTCCTCCTTTAGTCCATCTTGCCAGCTGCCACCTGGCTAGTCTTTCTGAAGCCCTACTATTACCTTATTTATGTTGGCAGTCGGTGGTGGTATTGGTAAATCACATTCCCCATTCTTCTCTATCAATTCTAAATCATTTGGGAAATAGTCAACAGTAATGGAGATCCAGTTATCGGCTTTATTATTGATAAGCTGAATTGAAGAACTTCCATTGGCTTGTGGCCAGAATCAGGCTTCTGGTTACTCCCTCAGTTGCGTTTA